AGTGAAGAATTGCGATTCCGATTCTTTTTCGATACTTTTCTTAAAAAAAGGGAAACAGTCTTAAATGTAATTATTGTGCTTTATTTCACACCAGAACCATAACACAAACTTTTAAACAATGAGAACAATAAACTAAATAAATGACAATAATTCGTATTAAATAAAATTAAGCATCATCTCAAACAACTTTTTTGTTTTATAAAATATAATTTTTTTTATATTTTATTAACATTTAATAGTACAGTAATATAAATAATTATTGACAAAATGTATATTGCAGATGTTAGCCACATTGGTAAGTTAGCAAAAAATGTATCATTGCCATTAATTGCCTCGTTTGTCACAAAATAAATTACACTGGTTTGACTTAGATTTGAGGGCATGGGCATGTTACACATTCGCTAACCTGTCTGTCTTTAAATTCTTTAAACAGCTCTGGATTCCGGTCGGCGGGTGCTTAGCCAAGTTTGATGTGTTGGCTCCCTTGGTTTGCAGGGATCTAAAACATGTCTTACAGACAGGCCTCGTGGTGTCCGTGGGCTTGCCCTCACTGTCAGAGATATAGCTCAAATACTTCCAAATTTCGCTTCTGCCGTCTTTTTTGTCAACAAGCCGAGGCGCAGCGGCAGTTGCACTCCCACTTGCAGCCATGCTTCTCGTTTTCTCACATGCTCTGGCAGCTAGCGCGTGCACGAGAGGGGAGGGACTTAGAGCGTGCTTGAGAGGGGCGGGACTGCAGAGCAGGCACGGCTGCAGTGCAGGGAGAGTGGAAGCAGAGCGCTGAACACACACGGCTCTTATTAAAACAGCGCTTTCTCACCGGAGTACTTTTCCCCGTCATTCTTAAAGTACCGATACTAATGAAACGGAGGAATCGTACTGTTTTTAACGGCAGGGTATCGCGGTACCTTTCAAGTATCGGTACACCGTGCAACACTAGTTCAAATACAGATTATTTCAGTGCATCGAAATGCTGCACCGTAATGTTTATTTTATTATATTTTGTATTTATTTGAGTGAATACATTATTCATAGTTTAATAATAATCAAAAAACCCCAACAAATATTTTATGTTTTGTGATCATTTTTTCTGCTGTACCGAAAACGTACCGAACCGTGACCTAAAAACCGAGGTACGTACCGAACCGAAATGTTTGTGAACAGTCACACCCCTAATATATATATATATTCTTTTTATTATAGGATATGTACATTTTGGTTAACCGTTTTTTTGGGGGTCGAATATTCGAATACATTTGCTTTCAAATTCTCATCCCTAGAATGCACGAGTTGTTTATCCCAAAAATCTGGATTAAAATGTATTGCATCTGGCTAGTTTTCGACACATTGGAATACAAATAAATCCATCTGAAAATGTTAACTATTCCTTTTCTAAAAATTTAAATATATTTCCAGTGAAAGCGCCCCCGACTCTGGAACCATAGCCTGCAGCTTCATGACACCAACGAACAGAAAGTAAAGCTACCACCAACCACACACATCATCTTGGGATGTTGCTAATATGTTAGTCATGTCTGCCAGACACTTTGGCCAACAGCCAAGCCAAAATATTAAACAGGCTTGTCAAGAATTAAAGTGGTGCACGTGTGAAGAGATGTAACACCAACTACAGCCTGCAGACCACAGCACAGCTGACTGTCTTCATTGGTGAATAGATATTAAATGTTTACATACACCAAGAAAAGGAAAAGGTTGTTTATGTAGACTAGGCTAATGGTCACAGCAACATCAAATTGAGTTCAAATCCGATTTAATCCCCTGGGCCCAGGAGTTCAAAACTTGTAATCCCTATCTGATCAAATCAGATTTGGATTTTGGGGAGTTCAAAACCAAAAAACAGGATTAGGATCACTTTGATATCCAATCAGATCAGGAAATCCAATCCAAGCTTTAATCTGGATCAAATCTTCAAAACGGGTAGTTCAAACTGACAACACAGGATTGGGATCAATTTGATCCCAAAAAACTGGATTATCCTGATCCCACCAGAGGGGTGGGTTTCCAGAGCAAAATGTACTGTACCATTTATTTAAAAATATGTTTCAATATAAATACGATGGCAAAGTTTGTTAACTGAAATAATACACAATTTTTAGCCTTCATGACAAATCGTCCATCATCTGTCATCACCTTTCAAAAGTAATTGCGGACAATAGATGTCTGCAATGCGGTCTCTTGTCTTCCTTGTATTATTTGTCATGTCCACTAGATGGTGATCGGTAGGATTAAAGCACTGATATTCAGGATCTAGTCATCTTGAAAAATCGTAATCTGGATCAGGCTGATCCTATCCTGAATTGCTTTGAACTCCAGGGACAAAATCTGGCCGACTTGTCTGATCCTGGATCACAAAAAATGGGATTTCAAAATCTGATCGGATCGAGATTAAAAGTTTTGAACTCCTGGGCCCTGGTGAATTGTAATCATGGTCGGTAAAAAGGACAACGCTACAAATCACCACCCCACCTGCATGCTAGCTAAAGAGACCCTGAGAAGAAATGAAGAGACGGACAGGGATAACCCAACAGGATCATATTAACAAGTTAGGATAGATACAGAGAGAGCAACAGGGAATACTCCTGACTAAATAAACCACACAATTATTCAAAGGAATGTCATGTTTGAGAGGTCTCGTCTATTGGGATTGTTAAGTAAGCCGCCAACCTATCAAGCTAAAACAGACAACATTTGAGACAGCAGGCCTGCCACTCAAACCCACTTATGTGTCCACACAACCAGTTTCCATCAAAAATGAATCAATTGTATGGCATGTTCGCTGCTGAAGAAAGTGTTAAGAGAAACACTATAGATTCTGCATTGTTATGACAAAGCTTTATTGCACTTCATGATTCATCAGCCTGTTCTTTAGAAAACCCCGCACAGGCAACAGTCGCATCAAAAGGCCTGTGTGTGTTTATGCCAGGAAATACCCCACGCATTCATAAGCGCGGAAAATTAGCCCCGGCTTAGTGGTGGTTCACTGACGGTTGGCTGATGAATATTTCAGTTTCTGACATGACAGGTGGTTTTCGTCTGCCACCTGACATGCATTTAAGTGAGCAGAAACATTATGAATATATCCATAACTGTGACAGAAGAATGTTCTTTTAACAATGTGTGCAGCACACACAATGGTAATACAATCTCCCTTGAGGTAAATGCTGTGTGCACCCAAACAGGGCAGTTAGCTAACCTGTCTTATCTACATGATACAGATGAATGCTACAGCATACATGTGCTCACGAACATGTCATTTTTTATTTACTAAAAGTCACCCAGATTGATCATATCATACTGCTAATAGAAGCATTGAATTATCGGACCGTAAGACACAGTGTCCCCGATTCTTCCAAACAACCTGTGTTATCATTGAGATCCTTGTTAATAAGCGCAATCGGCTCACAATATATGATCTAATATTTGTAATAACCGCTTGAATAGCTTAACAAGTAGATCCATAAGATTAAACATAGCAACAGGGACACACTTCTAATACAATGCAGCTGACTAACTGATTGATTTGGGCCAGATTTGGCCATTTAACAAAATTGGACGTCAATAGTCAACATTATCTCCCTTCATTACAGTAAAGGTTATGATTTTAATTTTAATAATTAAATCAGTAAGAAAAAAATACCAAAATATTGGACTGAGCCATAACAATTGGGAAAACCATATTTCGTCTGCTTGCTATAAATCCCTATTTAGATCAATGTGTGGGTGCCATATATCTTTATGACACTGTGCTATGAGACACCATTTTATTTTTGGTTGAATTGGCTTTTAAAAAAGGTATTCTCCTATGCTTTACATTTAAATGAGAACATTTTTCTTTAAGTCTGTCAGGGTGAAATTGACAAGAAATGAATCCACCAGTCTGAACAGCATGGACATTAGTGCTGTTTTCCCTAATATCTCTGACTTTGATTTACTGCTAGATATTACAAACTCACAGCCAGAATACTGTCGTATGATCAATGAGCGTTGTGAATATAAAAAAGTGACATAATTTGATCAGTAACCATGAGCCATAGGAGATCAAATATGTAAGACTTTAGCATGACTGGTTAGAACATTCCCTAATGCTTCGTGAAACAAGCCACCATGGCTCAGAAGAAAAAGAAAGTTGTGTTTCTCGCCTGTGAGAGCTCCCAGTGTTTAGTCAAACAGTGTTTTTAAACCAGCTAGCTACTGGGTGGGTCACCAGAAAGATGGCGTCATCACAGCGGCAACAGATGGCTAGTGTGTCCGCAGTGGAAGAATGGGTGGGTGGCCCCGATCCAAACTAAATACATAGACCCGTATATACTTTCCACATGACTTCTCAGAGTGAAAGACTGCTAATAACAAAACATTGTATTAGAAAAACTTAAACGCCACTATAAACTAGAGACTGCCTTTTAGTCACCGACATGTCCTACATTCTACAACACAAGAAAATACTGCTTTGGTGTTTAAAGAAGGCACACGGTGCTTTATCCGTTCCTTAGTATTGTCACGTTACTAAAACATTAATGTCTAACTTTAACAAAAAAACGACCTAAAGCAGGCACATCTGACCGGTTGGGAAGCCGCCTGGTCAGCCGGGCAAGTCAGGAAAAGAGCCTCATTGTTTGGCTACATCGCCAATGTAGGCCAGTTTTACCGGTTAAATTTGCAAACATCACGTAAGTTCTCGCAGATGAATAAAAGCCCATGGTGTAGTCTGGCCATGGTGTTTCAGTCAGAGAAGCTTCTACACTGAGAATACAGCAGTTTTCTCCGTAGCATGAGTGTGTGTGGCAAGTGCGGAAGCGGCTTGAAATCGAGGTCGGTTAGGCGAAACGCTAACGTTAGCTAACCTCGCTAGCTTTGAGCCTCGCTAGCACGGCCTCTAAAAGCTCCGGACAACTTTTAAAAATACTCCCGTCCACTTTAGAACTTTAAAATACGAGATATGAGCACTTTATAAAGGTCTGGTACTCCAGAAAGTAGTTTACCTGCAGTTGTATGTGGCTTGCAGTCGGAGTTACAATGTTTCCCGGAGCAGAGTTGCTTTGCCGACCAGTCGAGTCGCTCTTCCTCTCGTCTCAATCTGATACAAGGAATTACTTCGCGGGAGCGCGCAGCCACGGTTTGTAGTTTGTAGCTAGGGGGAGGGGTGGCGGGCACGAGCCCGAGAGCCACACCTGCGCGGGCACGAGGTGTACGAGCAGAGTTACCGGCTCATCAACTGTATGGAAATTAGTAACTAAGGTAACGGCGAGCTATAAACGCAGTCTATTTTCAGACGTGACATTTTCACAACTTTTAGAGTTTGTAACAGCAGGGTGTTGTTTTACCTTCCAACACAACTTTATAAATGTAAGGGTTTAAAAAAAAGTTATTCTTAGTAGTTTTTATTTAACTATTCACCTGGGTCCAACATGAGTTACTGTAAATAACTCCTTATATCTGAAGTAGGCTACCACTGGCATTGTTTAGTAAGCTGTCCCATGTTAAACTCTTATTTAGTTTAGCTTCTGGAAAAACAAATGATACATAATAATGGACACTGTACTTATCCATTACAAAATGCTGAGGTTATGTCCTTAGGAGACACATATCGTTTTCAGTAAATTGTGTTATTCCCCCAATCAGAGTTAATTGAGCCAATTAAAGCTTGGCCAACACTGTAACGTTGTTTCGTTGTATCGCCTGCAGTCATGAGAAAACTGTGGTTACTGCCCCACCTGGCGGGCAGATGAGGTAACTCATCAAATTCAGAGAAACAAAGGGAGAAATCACCACACATATAAAAGAGAATAAAACGAATAGAAACATGTAACCAACGTTAACTAAGTAGCCTAACTACTGTACTTAAGTACAATTCCGACCTTCTGCATTATGATTTTACTCCACTACATCTCAAAGATAAAATATACTAATTATGTTGCTACTACATTTTTAGACTCTTACATGTATTTTTACAATGTTATGCATTTACTATACTGGGAAGTTGTGCACAATATAAAATTACTCACACATTTACTAACAAACAAAATACTATTACATGTACTGGTCAGTGATAACATGTTATTTAATATTATATAGTAAAATACAATTATAAAACACTGTGCATAACACTTAATACGTTTGTCTAATCACACGTCCATGAACAGTAAAATGTGTCGTAATATAAAGTTCACTAAATTGATTAGTGCCTCTCTGAAGAACCAGCACCTTACCGTGGTAGAGAGGTTTGTGTGCCCTGATGAACCTGGGGGCTGTGTTGTCTGGAACCTTGTGTTCCTGGTAGGGTCTCCCATGGCAAATTGGTCTCAGGCAAGGGGCCAGACTAAGATTGGTTCAAAAGACCTCATGAAAGAACAACAAAGAAGTGAGGAAACCCGGCCAGGAGGAAGCCCGGGGTCCCCTTCTGGAGCCAGGCCCAGAAGGAGGACTCGTCAGCGAGCGTCTGGTGGCCGGGCTTGCCACGGAGCCCGGCCGGGCACAGCCCGAAAAGGCAACATGGGCAACACCTCCGCTTCTCCGTCCTGCGGGCCCACCACCTACAGGAAACAGCGATGGGGTCGGGTGTGCTGCCAGAAGGGTGGCAGTGAAAGCAGAGGGTCTCGACGGACCAGACCCGAGCGACAGAAGCTGGCTTTGGGGACGTGGAACGTCACCTCTCTGGGGGGGAAGGAGCCGGAGCTTGTGCGGGAGGTGGAGTGTTACCAGCTGGATCTGGTTGGGCTCACCTCTACGCACAGCGTCGGTTCTGGAACCTTACTTCTGGATAGGGGTTGGACTCTATTTTTCTCCGGAGTTGCTCAAGGTGTGAGGCGCCGGGCGGGTGTGGGGATACTCATAAATCCCCGGTTGGGTGCTTCGTTGTTGGAGTTTATCCCAGTGGACGAGAGGGTCGCCTCCCTACGCCTGCGGGTTATGGGGGGGAAAACTCTGACTGTTGTATGTGCTATCGTATCATCGGACCTGAGGCCGTATGTTTTGGACAATCGGGTAAAGAGAGGGGCGGAGTTGTAAACTGATCACCATCTGGTGGTGAGTTGGGTCAAGTGGCGGGAGAAACCTCTGGATAGACCTGGTAAGCCCAAACGTGTAGTTCGGGTGAACTGGGAACGTCTGGAGGAGGCCTTCAACTCACACCTCCGGCGGAGCTTTTCGGGCATTCCTGTGGAGGTTGGGGACATTGAACCAGAGTGGTCGGTGTTCAAAGCCTCTATTGCCGAAGCTGCGGCGGGGAGCTGTGGTCTCAAGGTCTTAGGTGCCTCAAGGGGCGGTAACCCTCGAAACTCCTGGTGGACACCGGTGGTCAGGGAAGCTGTCCAACTGAAGAAGGAGGCCTTCAGGGATTTGTTATCCCGGGGGACTCCCGAGGCAGTTGCAAGGTACCGACAGGCCCGAAGGGCAGCAGCCTCAGCCGTGGCCGAGGCAAAGCAGCCGGTGTGGGAGAAGTTTGGAGAAGACATGGAAAAGGACTTTCGGGCGGTACCAAAGTTGTTCTGGAAAACTGTCCGACACCTCAGGAGGGGGAAGCAGGGAACCATCCAAGCTGTGTACAGTAAGGATGGGACGTTGTTGACCTCAACTGATGGAGTGTTAGGGCGTTGGAAGGAACACTTTGAGGAACTCCTGAACCCGACAACTCCGCCCTCTATGTTAGAGGCAGAGCTGGAGTATGACGGGGGATCAACACCAATCTCCCGGGGGGAGGTCACTGAGGTCGTCAAACAACTCCACAGTGGCAAAGCCCCGAGGGTAGATGAGAACCGCCCAGAAATGCTGAAGGCTCTGGGTGTTGAGGGACTGTCATGGTTGACACGTCTCATCAACGTTGCGTGGAAGTCGGAAACAGTACCGAAGGAGTGGCAGACCGGGGTGGTGGTTCCCCTTTTCAAAAAGGGGGATCAGAGGGTGTGTGCCAATTACAGAGGCATCACACTACTCAGCCTCTCCGGGAAAGTTTACTCTAAGGTACTCGAAAGGAGGGTCAGGCCGATTGTCGAACCTCAGATTGAGGAGGAACAATGCGGATTCCGTCCTGGTCGTGGAACGATGGATCAGCTTTTTACTCTCGCAAGGATCCTGGAGGGGGCCTGGCAGTACGCTTATCCGGTCTACATGTGTTTTGTAGATTTGGAGAAGGCGTATGACCGAGTTCCCAGGGAGTTACTGTGGGAGGTGCTGCGGGAGTATGGGGTGAGGGGGTCTCTACTCAGGGCCATCCAATCTCTGTACTCCCAAAGCGAGAGCTGTGTCCGGGTCCTCAGCAGTAAGTCGGACCCATTTCCGGTGAGGGTTGGCCTCCGCCAGGGCTGCACTTTGTCACCAATCCTGTTTGTAATATACATGGATCGGATTTCGAGGCGTAGTCGTGGGGGAGGGGGTCTGCAGTTCGGTGAACTAAGGATTGCACCACTGCTTTTTGCAGATGATGTGGTTCTAATGGCTTCATCGGGCTGCGACCTTCAGCACTCACTGAATCGGTTCTTAACCGAGTGTGAAGCGGCTGGGATGAGGATCAGCACCTCCAAATCTGAGGCCATGGTTCTCAGCAGGAAACCGATGGACTGTCCACTCCAAGTAGGGAATGAGTCCTTACCCCAAGTGAAGGAGTTCAAGTATCTCGGGGGGTCTTGTTCTCGAGTGAGGGAACAATGGAGTGTGAGATGGGCCGGAGAATCGGAGAAGCGGGAGCGGTACTGCAGTCGCTTTACCGCACCGTTGTGACGAAAAGGGAGCTGAGCCAGAAGGCAAAGCTCTCTGTCTACCTGGCCATTTTCGTTCCTACCCTCACCTATGGTCATGAAGGATGGGTCATGACCGAAATAACGAGATTGCGGATACAAGCGGTCGAGATGGGTTTTCTCCACAGGGTGGCTGGTGTCTCCCTTAGGGATAAGGTGAGAAGTTCAGTCATCCGGGAGGGACTCGGAGTTGAACCGCTCCTCCTTCGCGGCGAAAGGAGCCAGTTGAGGTGGTTCGGGCACCTAGTTAGGATGCCACCTGGGCGCCTCCCTAGGGAGGTGTTCCAGGCACGTCTAGCTGGGAAGAGACCAAGGGGTAGACCTAGGACCAGGGGGAGGGATTATATCTCTTCGCTGGCCTGGGAGCGCCTTGGGATCCCCCAGTCAGAGCTGGTTGATGTGGCCAGGGAAAGGAAAGTTTGGGGCTCTCTGCTGGAACTGCTACCTCCGCGACCCGACCACAGATAAGCGGGAGAAGATGGATGGATGGATAAATTGATTAAGGCTATTTGCATATACCTTTTTCCTGTTTTCAATTTTGATTTGATGAATGATCAAACAAATACTGTACCCTTGAAAGTTGCATACCATGTCATACATTTTGACAAATAAATTGGGTTTAAAAAACTATTTCATTTAGATTGATAAATAGAAATGTTATTCTAAACCTTGAAAACTGTAGGTAGTTGAGTATTATGTCTGAATTAAACACATTTTTGTAATTATGAATGACCCTATAGTCAGCAGTGACACATGACAAAAGGGTGTCATATATGATATGAGTAATTGCTATGCTAATTGTATGCATATTCAAGATCTGGTAGAACACTTGGATTTCCTCCTATAGATCATTCTGTAAGGTTCCTTATAGGATTGTACAGGTCACATCATCCCACCACTATCTAGCCCACCTTTAATGTCAAATCACATCCACAGAAGGAAAGCAAATGTCACAAAAAAGAATGAAAAACATATTTTTATTTCATACAATCGTCTTTTATTTCATATAGAGATAAAGTCAAATATCTGAAAACCAAAACAGAAAAGTCTGTGCAACAGAGATAGATAGAGAGAATGACTGTCATTAGTTTGAACACGATCTGTTGGTGCAAAAGTAGGGACAGAAAAGGAAAATGAAAGTAGTGAAAACTATTTATAAAACATTGCTGTGAATGAACCCCCCCTTCCCAACAGCACACACACACACACACACACACACACACACCCACACACACACACACACACAACACACACACACACACACACACACACACACACACACACACACACACACACACACACACACACACACACACACACACACACACACACACACACACACAACACACACACACACACACACACACACACACACACACACACACACACACACGATG